CGGAGGTTTCCCGTACAGATTATCAACAGCTTCTTGTACGAGGTGAGTTACCTTCCAGTAGGGGTGGGTCTAAGGCCACAATGCCGGCCCACCAATGAGGAGTATTTAGAAGATGATTGTCTTTGTGATAATTATCTTGGTCTGGTTATGTGTTTGGTTATGAGTTATATCTGTATGATATGTTACGTGCATGATAGGGATAGTTTCCCTGACAGTGGTCCTTAGGACCAAAGGATAGGTCAGTACCCAGATGTGCCTGACTGTATGCTTATATCTTGTTATTGTATGCTAGTGGTAGGGGTGGAATAGTCCCCAGTTACCGGTTGAAAGATACCGATGATGGTTACCGGTTGAAAGATACCGATGATGATTACCGGTTGAAAGATACCGACGAAGATTACCGGTTGAAAGATACCGATGATGTTGTATGGTATGTGGTATGATGGGGGAACTCACTAAGCTTTGTGCTTACGGTTTCAATTTTGGTTTCAGGTACCTCTTCGTCTAAGGGGAAGGAGCCGGCGGCGTAGCATCGCATCACACACACACACATGATTTCCGCATAGAAGTTTTCTAGGACTGTACTCTGATATGTTATTAGTTTATGACTTGGGTTTCAGACATGATACATTGTTTTATGAGACGACGTGTTTTCACAGTATTTTCTAATGGATGTTTTTTATGAGTTATTTAAATAAAAATGAAATTTTTGGGCGTGAATTTTGGGCTGTTACATGATTCGTATGAATTTTCTTGGACACTAAGCAAACAAACACTCACTGAACCCATCGAAGAACAAACTCCACCACCACTCCCATGCCAATTCAACTTTACCCCATTTAGTGAACTATACAAGTATGCAGATGAAGAAAATTATCTAAGTAAGACCTACACATTTACCCATTCATTTATATCCACTTACAACCACATTGTCACATATACACTATACCTTTTAAAATGCAGATGTAAGAGGTTTTGTAATTAAATGCTTTCCAATTCAGCATATGAAAAAGGATCAGAAACATCATCAAAAAGGGATGTAATCATTGTTAATGAGGAGTATGTGCAAGATTAACTTCATAGAATTAACAATATGATGCTCATTTTTTTTAAATTTAATTATTATTATTATTCTAAAATCGACACATTTATATCAGGAAAAAACTTCTAATTCTAACATTATGGAATCTCATCACTGAAATTGAAGGAAACGCCTTGGACAAAATAAACAATACCGGGCCTTCGGTATTTGCAATGAGGGTAAAGGTGACAACATTCCATGGTAAATTCAAATCCATTTCAACAATGCAAATATATATGCCTAAAAAAAATACACTAATGATTAACTACATGCATATCAGGAGAATCACTCACTACAAGAAACAAAAGGAATATCTTCAAAAATATTTCAGATGTAATGGTACCAAATGAAAATCAAACATTAGATTAAAAACCATTGAATCAAGTTTGAAGTCTTTTTTCAGCATGACAGATGTTGCAAGTGCAGGGATAAAAATCGACTTTATTATGTTCTTATATGATGTAGATTATCATGTCAAAATAAATATCTTAATGTTAAATTGATCGGCTCAATACTAATTCATTCCCGGGTTATATCTTTATTTGTTATATTACTTATAACATCTTTTACTTCTTTCCTTACTTCAGCATTCAATTTGACAATAATCACTTTGAAGAAAGTATACCTCATGCTTATGTGGGAAATAGGAATGTACGTTCCTTTGTTTGTATAACTAAGCATTGTACTTTCATATTCTTTTGCTTATTTAGGCATTTTATGTTGAAAATCTACCTATTTATATCCTTAATTAACCTACCAATTTTTTGTTATTAGCACAATATTTTTAAACAGTGTGAAGCAAATATATATATATATATATATATATATATATATATATATATATATATATATATATATATATATATATATATATATATGTGTGTGTGTGTGCGCGCGCGCGCGCGCGCATGAGACGAGGGCCATATTTCCCAATTTAGGGTATATAAAGGTATGGAGACAATATGACGTTGTCATAGCCTTCCCCAAACGACGTTGTTGTATCAATTCAGAAACTGATTTAAAAAATAAATTATTTTTAATTTTTGTTTTTTTGTTGGAACGAGAAGTCGCCCATATACATTTTCGCAGACGCACCTAAATCACTTTCTTTCCCGCCTAAAGTGTTGAGACGACAAGTCGTCACCGTTTCTTAAGAAGTCAAAATTGTTTCAATGAAGAAATTTCGGTGATTTAGGTTCATCTATAGTGAACACATATGTCATTCATATAGGCCTCGTAGCTATATTTATTCAATTCATTCGAAGTTTGAACTCCCACAACTATTGTAGTTTTTTAAAAAGCTCATTAAATTCTCAAATTTTCATTTCTATGAAATATCCAATATTTCATGGTTGATGAACATCTTTTTTTCGTTTCTTTATTCTTTATATTTAAATTAAATGTTGAAGTAAGGATCGATGATTCAACGTGCTCTCAATTAGTAGTTTTTACCTAACAACTAAGTGAAGGTTGCTATTCTTGAATGTGCGTCTTTGGTTAGAGTCACATACGCACACTAATTAAGCAATTAGTTGTCTACATTGTAGATCACGTGTGCCAATTCTTGACTACAAAAACATCGCGTATTAGAGGTTTGTTTACCCGATTTGAGGTGTACACATGGAATAATATAATGATCTATGTGTTATGCTGGTCTTCGGATGTGCTTGCTTTCTTTTTGGCCACTAATATTGTGACACGCAAACTTTCAATTGATCACCGGTATGTAGATGTGTGCTCGATTTCAATGCCAGAGTCTCTAATCACTATAAACACGTAAATGCATAATATGCGGGTAACACATAATTATGCTAAATATAGCCCATAGATATTGTTTTTTTTTTTTTTTTTTTTTTGTGTGTGTGTGTGTGTGTAAAAGTAGGTTGATTTTAAAAAACTATTGTAAAAAGAGGTTATATTTTTCAAATATATCGTAGAAATATATTGCTTTGAAGCAGAGGCCCTCATTTCTATCTTTCTCTATCGGTTTTTTTTTTTTTTTTGGTTGCAAAAGAAAACATATATTTTCATCTTTAACCGTTACATGTTAGGAATTTAACCCTTCAATATTTATCTTATTTTATTTATATCTTTTACAATTGAACAATTTATTTTTTACCCTTATATAATATATTAATTTATTTCATAATATATGATTATATCTTATGTATTATTTTTTACAAATTATACCCTTAAATATATCTCACAAACACCTTCAATTAGATACCAATATTGAATATATTACAAAAATACGAAATTACAAGAACAATTAAAAAATATATATTATAATACGAATGAAGCATAAAATTACAATACAAGTTAAACACTAACTTACGTCGTTAATTAAAAATGTTATAGTGCAAGTTAAACACTAACTTACATCATTAATTAAAAAACTTCATATCGCATTGAATCTTGGATGAGAATTTGGACAATTTCTTCTACTATGACCAAATTTGTGACATAGTCTACATTTGTGAGGTTCGTCGGGATGATGAATGTTCATCTCGTTATGAAATCGATTTGCAGGCCTCCGGTCTTGATGCAAATAAAGTTTTAAGTTATTTCAACCAATAATCATCATGAGAAAGTGGGGAAAAAAAATGATATATATTGTTGTTTATATGACATAATAATGTACACAATATTTACAATAGAAAGAGGGTTATCCCCTTTATAACTACAAACTTTAATAACAAGCCAACATGGAAATCTTTCAATCTGTCACTTACCACATGTGCATGTTTGTTGAAAATAATGGACAGTGTGCGCATTTCCACCTTTTCCATTTATTTGTAACTTTATGATAATTTTGTAGACACCTTCATTGTAGTCAAACACGGTTAATTTATGTCTTTGCGCACGAGTTTCTCGATTTCGAAAGAGATGTCACATACATGATGGTAGAGATGTATTGCAATTCAATTGAGCATCACTGTACTTTATAAAACGTTGCAACATCACTAACTTTCACAAATAGTGACAACTCAGACTATACATTTTAGGGGTTATGGACTAAAGATTTCTCATATTTACAAATAAACGATGATAAAAATATCATTACAATTACTATGATTTAGTGTTTAATTTATATTGTAGATTATTGTATAATGTGTACTGTAATATCGTTTTTAATTGATCTTTTTATTTTCTGACGTAATATATTCAATATTGTATCTATTTGAAGGTATTTGTATCATTTGTTCAATGGTATAACTATTTAAGAATAATACATAAATTATAATCATATATTTTTGTAATAAATTATCTATGTATAATATAAATGTAAAAAATTGAATTGATCAATAATGAAAGATATAAGAAAAAAAAGATATGAAAGTTGAAGGGTGATATTTGTAACATATAGGGATTTAAATGAAAACACATATTTTTGATGTCATAGATAAAACATGGAAATAATGGCCATGCTCAAACAAGTCTATTTCTACAACATTTTTTAAAAGTAGCCTATTTCTACAAACCTTTTTGAAACAAACCTAATTTTACAAAAATATAATAGACATATTGGGGATCCATGAAGAATATACAAATTAATTATGAACGTCTAGCAGTGCACGTAATCTTGGGATCAATATTTTATGGACATACTTCTCTGATTCTTACCGATCATTATTCCACACGCCACAAGTATTTCAATTCATGACATTTTAAATAATGCATGATCGACTCATATATGCATGCAACCTTAAGTTTGGATTTCGTCATGAAACTAATAACCGATAAAAGTTTAGTTACTTGTACTATTCCGTCAGTCTGTGAAAATGCTAAACTACCCTTGGACAGATGCATGCAAGACCCCTCTAACCAAGAAAAATATTTAGTTACTTGTACTAATTAATACATATGTTTCTAGATGAAAAAGACAATACTATCCTTGGCTTGAAAAAAACACAAGACATTCTTAGGATACCTCTATATATAGTTTTGAAACTCGTACGTTTATATATGACCGAGGAACAAAAAACATGAAAGAGGTAAAAATCAAAATTGCATGGGCTTTGGCGATCCTATTGGTGCTTGGGCGGCCGAATACACAGGTTGAAGGACAGCTTAGTCTTCCGTGCATGAGGATTAATCTTCGCATGATAACTTGTTATCTACACGTGATAACTTGCCACCCTAATTGTAGAAAAGCTCCATGTAACGATCAATGCACACCTCCCCCAATATCGTGTTGTGTACAACTTGCGAGGATAGGAAAAGGTATAAACACTAATGCTGATGCAAAAAATCTATGTGACTGCATACAAGAAACCGTTATCGACAGACAAGGCACACCGTTTACTGGCGTCGGCCTCTCAGTTCTTCCCAAGGAATGCATGCTTGCAATGAAACTTCCTCCGGTCAAAGCCGACACCAACTGTAAAAAGTATGTTAAACATACCTAATTCATCTTTTTTCTCATCAACTTATTGTCGTTTAACTGTATATTAGTCTGTGTATTGATCATAATCTTGGTTTTCTTATGTAGGTGGAAGAAAAAGATGATAGTACGTGTCTAGCTTTCCATATATAAATATATAATGAGAATTAAAAGCTAGTAATGAAATCGCTATATATGTTTATATGTATAATCTTGAAACTTCGTCCATTTATACTAAAGGTTCAAACTTGCTACCTAGTAGGCATCTTTAGCAAGTTTTAATAATAAGAATAACAAATTACCATGCGATTGAGTATTACTAACATATAGTTAGGTTGTGTTTGTTACATTATACAACATAAAAAGACTAGATGAGACTAAGGGTGTTCGTGGTGTAGTGCAATTTTGCACGTGAGGTTTCTTGCAGTTTGCTAAACACTCATAATTTTTATAAAGAACAACACGTATCAAATAACTCTACCGTTAATTTAGCAATAATCACCAACACCGACCAAGCCCGTATAAGGAAGGTGCATACATCGAAATAAAATTAAAATGAATTCATCGCACATGCATTTTAAAATATGTTCTCCTTAGAATTAAATTAATATTATATATTTTGTATGAGACCATATAATTTTGTGTAAGTTAGATCCCTCTCATAAATAATAGGAACAATGCAATTAAAAACGATTTTATTATAACTTAATCAAAACACATTGCTACTAATGAAAATGTGACTTGTGAGCATCATATCTACCTGTGGTGTGAGAAATGAGAAAAACCCAGTGACATTAGACTTGAAGTGTCTAAGTGTTGAAGAACTGAAATAGAATTTCAGAATCATCAAATGGCAAGTAATGCGGAAACTAATTAGTTGTGAATCAACCAAATTTTATGATAAAACATTTTTGTATGTTCAAAGTCAATGATTCAAAAGTGTCTTATATTCATATTCATAAAGATTTGATTACAAGTATTTGAAGTAATGAAGACACAAAGTAAGAAACGCTCAAAAGCTCTCTGGAAATTATGAAGTAATGTAAGGAGTAATTGAGCAGAATGAGCAAGAATTGAAAAAATTTATAATGGAGCCCAATGGGCCTATTTATAGGCTTTAGAAAAGCCCATGACATTGCTTGACCAATCAGGTGTTGACACATCATCATAACCAAGTTACCAGTTGACACCTTGACCTACTTAACAGAGAATGAATGGAATATTCCAATTCTCTTAGTATTCCGTTAGGGTTCCATCCAAGTCTTGAGTCTTCATTTCTCTTGAGCATTCTTGATCAACATTGAGGGTATGTTGAGCATCATGAGCATCATGTTACTCCATTGTCTCTTAAGATGTCATCAACTTTTAGAAGTTCCATTGATTAAGGTAGGTGGCTTTTTGAATGTTGGGATGTGTCCTGGAGCTAAAGATGTGCAAACACGAAACATGATGTGTCGTAGATGAACTGGATGTGTCATTGAGGACTTGGATTTGCCATCGTCGTTCATGATGTGCCATGTGAAATCTTGATGAGCCATCAACGTATTCATGATGCTCCATTGACTTGAGATGAGTCGCCAATATTCATGTTGCTCCACATATGATCTAGATGTTCCATCTGAGATCATGATGGTCCAAATTGCTTTCAACAAGTGCTTCATGTCAACTCCAAGAGCTGCAACATCTGATTCTTTAAACACTTGGTGAATCTTCAGGATCTTTCCAACCTGAAACATTCTGATAATGTTTATTAGAAAATGTAATTCAGTACTCATCTTATTTCAAGTGACAATCACATAAAAATATTTCCAACAGTTTCCCCCTATGTGATGGGTACTGAAACAAAGAGTCTTAAAAATATGCAAAAGGAAAAATATTGATTTAACATCCCCCCCCCCTGCTTCAATGAGATTTTCTGTTGAAGTGAACACACACAAAAAAAAATTAAATATTGCTTCGAGAGAATGTGTTCCTCGAGCTTGAAATATTTTGTTAAAGAAAAGTTTAACTGTCAATTTGACAATTGTTAAAAAATATTTGGAATTGATTATTAGTGAAAAAATTTGTTGGAAAATTTGTAGTAGAACTTCTAATCAGATTCCAAAAAAATGTTCGAATTTGCATAATCTAGACAAAAAATTAATTTATTGTCGAGATAGAGAAATGAATTGACAAATGGAAGTAGTTTGCAAATGCGGTTTGTGTTTTATTTAAGCTGAAAGTTTGAAGAAAAAAAGCAAGTGTTGAATAGTAGTGAGAAACTTGATCATTTTAACAAACTATAAATTTTTCTTTTTGATATTTTGCTAAATAGGTATTTACCTTAAAAGACTGTTGCATATCATTTTTTATCATAAATGTTATTTTTGAAATATGTTTGGATAAAAAAATTATTTTTTATAAATATTAGATAAACAATAAGAGTCCTAAAAAGATAAAACTTTAAACTTCGAATAAGGATATGATTCTTTTTGGTTTCTTGGTTTAAAATCGGCTATAAAAGCATATATCCTAAAAACAAAATTAAAAAAACAAAAGAAACAAAATAATTTAAAAAAAACGTGTGTGTAAAAAAATGGAAGAAAGAAAAATCGTGCATGCCTGGGATTTACGCCATACATGTGAAATTTCACATACACCTAACGTGTGTTTCTTTTTGCAGTTACTTGCTCTTATGTTCAAGTGTCACAAAAAAAAGAACTTCTAAATGTCATAAAAAAAACTTTTTGACCTTTGGTTCTTCACAACATGTTGGGGGTTTCTTGGTGGGTCTAGATGTTACATTCAATAAAATCAAGAACACACATGTAAGAAAATATGTTACATGCGTTGTGGTGATGCATCGAGATCTAAAAGCAATGAAAGTATGAATGCTCTTGACGTGAGTACTTTGCTGCAACCAATAAGTGTCGGGAAAATGAGGGTGCACATGAAGATCGAGAGAGCTCCTTTGGGGGAGGGTGTGGTGTATGTTGGGTTAATCAGATTTACGGGTGTAGGGGCATTTTGGGAAGTTTTTTATTTGAACTGTTTTTCTTCTAGTTTTAGAGTTAGAGTCTGATACATTTTTTGGGTATAAATATGGGACGTTAGTGTCATTGTAATTAATCCCATAATAAGTTTTACCAATTAATAAAAGGGGTAATTACTAATCTAGCCAAATTAAGGAAGTCATTAGCAATTTTTAGCCAAAAATTAGTAAATGTCCAAATATAGCCCACGAAACCGTAGGTTTCGATATTCGTCTACTGTTTCGCCAATTCGTCTACTGTTTCGTGTTCTGTATAATTTTTTTTTTCATTTTCAACATACAAAACCGTAGGTATTTCGAAACCTACGGTTTCCCTAACCGTAGGCTACGGTTTTAAGGGAAAAAATACGTTTTTTTTTAATCTACTACTTTGGGGGTTTTAACTACTGTTTTGTCAAAAAAGCTACGGTTTTAATTTTTTTTTTTTTTTTGTAATATAGAGTATAAAAAAGAGTGTTTATTTAACAATTATTTGACTAATTTTTTGTTAAATTTGACTACTTTTTTGAACCTACCTTATATATATTAAGTATTTTATATTTTTGGAAATATTTCATATCTGGGAAATTTTCTTCTCTGTAGCTTCTTTATTCTTAAAATTAAGATAATGAGTTGTAACGAGTATTTTGTATTGCTCATTACGGATGGCAGATGGGAGTTTGTTAATTCCCAATTATCATATGTTTGGCCACCGGGATACAATCCAAGAATGTTTTATTTAGGTGTTGAATTTTACGAAACCACGACGTTCACCGAATTTGTTCATTTGGTGAAGTGCAAGATGGGTCTTCCCGAAGAATCAAAAGTTAGTCTGGCTTATCAACATCCAGAACAACTCTATTATTGTGGTATTGTTGATGATCGTGATATTAGAAAGTTGATCAAGGTAATAAATGTCGTTGGAGATAAATCTGTGTCTGTGTATGTGGTGGTTGGAGAAAGTGTTTGGCGTAACGAAGTGGATGATAGAGGAAAGGCATTTGCAGCTAATTTATCAAGTGGAAAAGGGAGCAACAACCCATTAGGTAATTTTAAAAGTCCAAGTAAAAGTCAATATCATAGTATCGCTGAAAATGTAAATGTAGTGCCAGAACTGATTATGTATGTTACACCGAAGAATTATAAGTATATCGGTGATAATGATGTTGGTACATATGTTAATGATGTTGGTGTAAATCATTACTCTGATAAAAAAAAGCAGTAGCCGTGGTGAATAAGGTTGGTAATGAATCTGGAAAACAGGAAGTTCCGTTTTTTCATGATGTTGAACTAAAAGGATATGGCGAGTTTGCGGATTGTGACAAGTTGGATATATCCGGCCTAGAGAGTGATTCTAACGGAGAAGAATTTGATGACGAACCTAAGCTTATTTATTCAGATACCATGTTTCATGGTATGCACCCTTTGCCTTCGTGTCCTGTAAACGCTGATGTGAACATTCCATGTCAGAGGGTGGATATAAGTGAAGAGATTAAGGTTCTAGACATTTTTGATGACAAAAAGTTGCTCAAGCTTGCAATTGGAAGACAATGCATGGAACAAGGTAAGCAGTATAAGACTACCAGATCGAGCAAAGAAAGGTTCGAGGTTGTTTGTTTGGTAAAAAATTGTTCATGGATGGTTAGGGCAAGGGGAATCCAATCGACTACTACTTTCCAAGTCACAAAAGTTGTTGACCAACACACATGTTGTGCAACAAACTTGGAGTCTAATCATCGACAATCAAAGAAAAAGGTACTCGGGCACTTTATCGCTGAAGATTGGCCGGAGATTATAATAGAGTTATCGGGGTAATGAAATTGTGAGGGACATCAATTCGAAATTTCCAATCAATATCTCATACCAACAGGCATGGCGGGCAAAACAGTATGCGTTGTTGATGTTAAGAGGTACCAAAGAGGATTCATTCACCAAACTACCAGCGTATCTACACAACTTGGTCAAGCACAATCCAGGAACTGTTACTCAGATAAGAACAGACGATGATGATCGGTTTGAGTTCGTGTTTATCGCGTTGGGTTGCTCGGTAAGCAGTGATAATTTTTATAACAAATATAATATATGAATCCTAATTGGTATTTGTTAATGCAATAAAAAATAATTGTAGGTACGAGCGTTCATACAATATTGTAGGCCGACCCTAATAATTGATGGTGGTCACCTAAAGGGTGAATTCAAGGGTACGATGTTGCTCGCAGTGACAATGGACGGTCAAAACCAAATCATGCATGTTGCTTATGCCATATGCAAAAGTGAATGTACGGACATGTGGTCCTGGTTCCTTCGAAAACTACGTGAATGTATAGGCAACCTGGAAGACCTTACAATCATATCTGATAGGGCTCCATCCATAGCGACGTCAATTGCAAATATATTTCCTCACGCCCATCATGGAATATGTGGTATCCATTTGTATTTCAACATTTCAGCAAAATTTGGAAGCAGCGATACAATACACGCATTATTTTGGGAGACATGCAAAGCGTATACTATTAAAAAATTTGATAATGGGATGAAAAAAATTAAAAATGTAAATAATCATGTATGGGAATACCTACAAAACATCAATCCAGAAAGATGGGCCAAGACACATTTTCCTGGGAATCAGTATTTTCTTATGACATCAAATAGTGCGGAGTCGATAAATTTAATGTCAAGATTTGCAAGAAAGATGCCAATATTGATGTTGATTGAGTATTTTCGTGCAACAATGCAACAATGGAGTTTTTAGAAACGTAATGTTGTAGGTACTATATTTTATATATACCTAGTACTTGAAATTATTTTACTACTCTTATGATATTATGAAATTATGTCTATTTTTTTAGCTGAAACAAAAACAACACTCACCCCATGGGATGAAACTATTATACAGGCAAATAAGAATGCTTGTAATACATGGATGGTGTACCCTATCTCAAATAGCAGATTTGAAGTGAAAAGCTGTAACATCCCAAAAATACCAGCTAAAAATTTCATTTTTAAATTAGGTTAATACATAAAAACATCGTTACAAAACATTCATAATATTAATTCATGTCTGAAAACCGGTAACATCATAGTAAAATATTCAGAGTACATCCCAGAAAATCCATAGTGCGGAAACAAGAGTGTGTGTGTGATATGCCGCTACCGCGCCGACTCCTTTCCCCCTAGCTGAAGAGGTACCTGAAAACAAAACTATAAAACGTAAGCACGAAGCTTAGTGAGTTCCCCCAACGAACCTCATACCATACAATCACATAGCATACATGTCTGCCGGACATTTCTGGGTGCCCGACCTTCCTCTTCGGTCCTGTCGACCGGATACTGCCCAGCATATCTGGGTGCTGGCCTACCCCTTCGGTCCTGTCGACCGGATCGGGGACTGTTTCACCCCCTACTACTACTACCACATAATAACATATCACATAACCCATACATCATAAACTGCTAGCACATAAAGCATATCAGGTAGTAACAAACCTAGGTGATTATCACACAGACAGTCATCTATCATACGACTCCTACTAGTGGGCCGGCATTGTGGCCTTAGACCCACTTTTACTGGAAGGTAACTCACCTCGAGGGTAGCTGCTGAAAACCCGCTCAACCTACGCCTGGCTGCCGCACCGGTAACCCTCCGGCTAGAAATCTGTAATCATGGATTAGGTACTCATAAATACCCCTTAGGTCAAATGACTGGTCAAAGTCAACTTCTTGGTCAAAGTCAACTCTCTGATTGACTGGACTCGCCGAGTCCATATAGCAACTCGCCGAGTCCTTCTACGTCTAGCCCGACTCTGACTCATCGGGTCCCTGTTCCCACTCACTGAGTCAGCCTGACTCGCTAAACGGGGACAACTAACAAACCCGCGACTGGACTCGCCGAGTCCAAGGGGGACTCGCCGAGTCCGACGAACAGATCTCACAATTCGCTCCAATCTTCCATCAGAACATCAACCTTGGAGATTTGGAGATTCTGGGACTATAGCTACACGTTAAATTGCTAATTCCATGTGCGACTACGAAGGGTTGGACCTCCTACACTTAAACCCTTCTTATCCTAGTGACAGTTCATATGACTCGCCGAGTTTGAAGAACAACTCGCCGAGTTCAAGGCTATATTCAAGGGACTCGCCGAGTTTGAAGAACGACTCGCCGAGTACCAAGCAATATTCATAGGACTCGCTGAGTTGTTCATCCAACTCGTCGAGTCTAAGGCCATCTTCATGGAACTCGCTGAGTGCACTTTGGCACTCGCCGAGTTCCCTTCGACTCTTCACCCAATCTGGCCAAATCTGAGACATGCAACTGATCCAACTCATGGGTCTCAGTTCCTAGGGTCTGGTTATCACATATACACACGAAATCTGGGGGTTTTAAGGCTTGAAGATCAACCATTGGGGACAAAAAGGAACCTAAGAGCTAATGAGCAAAGTGAGGGTTTTATTACCTGATTTGATGCCTTCCCCAGAGAAGATTTCGGATCTACCTTCACTTCTGGAACACTCCAACTTTCTCCTTCTTCTTCTAAGCTCCAAAAACCTTCTTTGGAAGATCAAAATCACTCAAGAACATTAAAGGAGCTAGGGTTGTTCTCTACTGCTCTCTGGGAGGAAAATGGGACGAAATGGGTGTTTTAGAATGGGTAAAATAGGGTGCAATGTCTGAAAATAGAGTTTCATCCAGACAGG